GAACTCTCGAGGGAGGGAGGTCAACGAGTGCTAAATCTGCCTCGCCCGGACATCAGAGGAGGGTCTGGACCCCAAAGGGGGACTTATTACCCCTCGGGCGCCCGTGTAAGACCCGCTCCTCAATGGGGGGCCTGCCTCCCCCGATGGCCCCGGTATTGTCAGGTCCTTAATGGTTTAAACCCGGGCAGATAATCCCATCGATGACCGGTTTTGACCGGTCATCGCTGGGGGTGTTTAAACCCATCGATGACCGGTCATAACCGGTCATCCAAGGGGGTGTTTGGGGGGGTTGACTCCCATCAAGGACCGGTCAAAACCAGTCCTTGATGGGAGTGTGTCCTCTGTATGGGACTGTATGGCCAAATTGGCTGATGGATTCATTTTTTTTTTTAATTTTTTTTTTTTTTTAATTTTTTTTTTTTGGCCAAAGTGGCGGTTCAGTACCTCCATAGAACAGCCACTTTGGCCAAAAAAAAATGAAAAATGAAAAACCCAATTTTCAAACAAATATGAGTGATTCCAACCGCCAAGTTGGCCAAGTGGATCTGACATGTATGTCATACACCCTGACAATACATCTCAAACATTCCAATACATACAAACTATGTGATAAGCTCCCTGGAGCCAAAGTACCTACCATCCTCAACGCATAACACATACACCACAGCTCTTTGACCGATGAATCAGCTGGCAACCGAGCTCAAGAAACACTCTTCTCACTAACTGCTGACCCTACCAGACCAACCACTTGACACATACCAACCACTCGACACACACCAACAACTCGACACACACCAACAACTCGACACACACCAACAACCCAACACCACCCCACCAGATCTTACTACATACACCAACCATCCATCATGCGTGCCTCAATGCGATCTTTTGGTGACGATTTCGGAGGCTGAGGTTTCTCTTCTAGTTGAATCTGGCCTGACAGACGCTGAAATCCGCCAAACATATTCAAGACACGCACAGCATATCCGTCTCTAAACAAACACTCACACGAAGGAAAGGAAGATTGGGGACTTATACATCAAGCCACTGAACATTCCAATCAGCTTGAAGACCACATCCAAACCTACTTTGAACGAGGATTGTCATATTCACAAATCCACCATGCTCTAACAACAAGTCACGACTATACTCAATCTTTTCGAACACTCGAAAGGAAGATCAAATCCATGAACCTGACACGGCGAACTGACGATTTGGACAACAACAAGGTTGACATTGATACAATCGTCTCTTGCATTCAGGAAATTCATCAAACCCCTGAAGGCCGGAACGTTGGTTACCGAAAGATGCGACAATTGTTACAGACAAAATATGGGTTCAACATTCATAAGTGTGTTATGTCTTCTCTGTTATTATAATCCCGTGGAATTATTTCTGATATTTCTTTGTTTGGAATGAAGTCTCACAGTTTCATTGATCAACCGTACCCTTGATCCTGAAGGTGTTGATAACCGATCAAAAAGGGTTTTGAAGCGTCGCGTGTTCAACACCCCCGGCCCGAACTTCATTTGGTCTGCCGATGGCCACGACAAACTCAAGAAGTTTGGGATCACTCTCTATGGTTTTATCAATGCTTGGAGCCGGAAGATTTTGGGAATCTTTGTTCATGTCACCAACAACAACCCCCGACACATTGGATACTACTATCTCGAGCTTGTCAAACGTGAAGGTGGCATACCTCGCCGAACATCTACTGACAGGGGAACCGAAACAATCCACATGGCTGGCCACCAGATCAACCTCACCAAATCGTTCAATGCAGACTGCCCAGATCCGATTCAGTCACACCTGTTCACCAAGAGCACCCACAATCAGAAGATTGAGTGTCTATGGTCGCAGTTAATGAAGCAATACAACAGCGAGCTAATAAACCAACTCTTTCGGGCGGAGGAGGAATCGTACTATGATCCACAAGATCCTGTTGAGCAGTAAGTTTATTTATCCACAGCTTCTCTGGTTTGGTAATAAACTGACTAACATCGCATGCATCAA